CCACAATGGATAAATGTTTTTCAAAAAATTGTAAAATATATCTATAATGAAATAACTATTTTACCATTTAAAAGGATCTGGAGATTATACCATTAAGTGATTTAAACTAAGGAGACAATACTACATGAGCTCAATCCACTAGGTTATGTTCTTTCAATGAATTAGATATTTGTCAAACTGACAACTCTGTAATTCTTTTCCCATGGTGCCTTGCAAAGGTTTCTGAACACTGTTCTCTTGTAAGAGAGCACAGATAGAACTTGAGAACTGCTGGAAGCCAACTCTCTCACTGGAGCATCTTGAGGCTGTTTACAGAATCCGACCTTTTCACCTTCTCACCCTGCCCAAACTAACGACCACCTTTTCACCTTGCCCTAAGCAAGCACCCTGCAGCTGCTTCGGCCAATGAAAAAGCTTCCTTATTCCAAGCATATAAATACCCTTGTGTGAAAAATAAAAATTAGCAGCTTGATCAGAATCCCTGTCTTGCTGTCATTCTTCGTGTCTCTTGTCCCTTTATTCCTTCTCGCTTAGGTTCATTGCCCTCGTTGAAGTCCTGTGGGTCGGGACAGAGAACATGTTAAGTGACAGAAACTAGGTACAGAAAAGATAAATGTGGTAATGTGCTCACTCATTGGTGCAAGCTAAAAAAGTTATAACAGCCTTAGTATACAATTGAAGTCAGTAGAGGCTAGAAAGAGTATGAGCAGTAAGAAGGTGGTATCAAAACACAAGTAGTCCTAATGCTATAAATCACAGAGGACTACTTGTAGTAAACAACAGTTCATCATACATCTAAAAAGCTGGAAAAGTACCAGGTGCCCAGTAGCTCACACCTATAATCCTAGCTATTCAGGAGGCTGAGATCTGAAGATCATGCTTCAAGGCCAGCCTGGATAGGAAAGTCCATGAGACTCCTATCCCTAATAAATTACCAAAAAGCTGGAAGTGAACCTGTGGTAGAGTGCTAGTCTTGAGCACAAAAGCTTAGGAATAGTGACCAGGTCCTTAGTTCAAGCCCTAGGACCAGCACCAACCCTTCCTCCCCCCGTCCCCAAAAAAAAACCTAGGAAAAACTTGAACCTTCCCAAGATAGAAAGGGTAATATTTGAAGAAATTAAAATGATAATTACCCTGATTGCCCTGATTTTATCATTACACGTTGTATACATACAATATTCTCATTATAGCATGTCAGCTAAAATAAAACAAAATTGGAAAGAAAACATAAAGAAGAAATTATATTTAGAAGTTTTACAAAAAAGCAAAATGGTTCTGACCTCGGTGAAATTGACAGCCCATAGACAAAGGAAATGATTACCAACCTGGTTTCCTGTAATTAGGTTAATTTGTCACCAAGTTTCCCCGACTAGAGTTTGGAAACATTCCAGCAGAAGCCGGTTCACCTTTTTATGTGTTCGGCTTCACTGACCAAGAGCAAGTTCAGCCCCCAGCAGTGCATAAAAGCCCACGATCCCCCAGGACCACGCTCCACTCCTCTGGGAACTCCACCATGAGGTTCCACCCCCTTCTTTCTGTTCTTCTGCTTTGTGTGACTATAATACCAAAAGGTAAGCAGGTGGCATGATCCCAGAAGCGGATTGTGGAAGAGGCCTCAATTCCACTCTGAGCATTGCACTGGATGCCCCTGCGCATCCCCTTTAGACCCAAGGACGCCAAAAGCAAGAAGCAGGGTGGGGAGTCCTGCCAACATAGAATGGGTTGCAAGAGCTCTAACGGTAGGAGAAGGCTGGGGCCACTGGGGAGGGGAGGGTGCCGGAGACAGTTCGCGACTTCATGGATTCTGTTTCCAAGGAAGTTGTGACTCTAGAGCACGGGTGAGGGTCCGCTGCCTCCTGTTTCATCCTTGGCATGTTTCCACTGACCTAGCCTCATGGACAGACACCAATGTTGTGATACAATAGAAATGAGAGTCTACATTGCTTCTTTTTTCCAACGGCAATGATTAACTATGTATCCTTTCTCCCACTGCCATGAAATATAATCATTATAACATATGAAAACTATACAAATTCTATTTATCTACTAGACAACCATTTTGTGGGTCTATATGTTTATGCCAATGTCTAGTAAGCTACAAATAAATATCCATGAGGAAGGGAATTTATTCCTAGGTATCAATATCAATAAGTGATTGTATATTATCTTTTTGCCTCCAACTACTGCCGGGGCATGACCATGTGTCACAGTCCCTGGGACCTCATTACGTTTTGGCTTCCTACTCAGAAAAAGATGCCCTTAAATTTCAGATTTACATTTAGCAGGAAGCACAACACTGGCAGAATGAATTGTTCTACTTCTTTTGACTGAAGAAAGAAAGAAACATCTCCTAAGTAGAGACTCATTCTGTCCTATCCCCTGTGCAGCAGGTAAACTGTACAGGCCACTGCGTCACGAAACTCTATCCTGCAAAGAAAATGGTGGCTGTTCTGGCTTTGTCTGCCAAACTCATGTATTTGGAGTCTAGACTGGAAACGAAGCTCAACCAGTGCCTTCCACACCTGGCCGGTGAAAGGCCACCTCTTCCTCCAAAAGATGGTGACTTTCTCATCTAGAATGGTCGTGACAAGGCAGAGCTAGTGTTGTGGGCTACATCCAGCTTTCCCCTCACTCCACTGTGTCACTGCATAGAGCTCATTAGGAACCACTCGCTAAGGGCAGAGTAGAACACGAGACTGCTCTGGCTGAAGTTTCTACGAAGGCTAGGGCACACCCATACACAGGTTAGGAGCCCTCAGTTCAAAAGCTGCACCAGCTTCTCAATCTATGCATGGTTTTGTTTTGGTTTTTGATTTTTTCTTTAGAAACAAGGATAGCTAAGTATTTAAACACGAAATAACAACTATTTTTTTAAAAAAATTGCAGCCAAAGAAAGCCATCAAACTCTTAGAGTCAAAGAAGATAGACATCAAAGACCCATTAGAGCTGGTACATTATGGAATCAAGGTTTAGCAGGATGGTCAGGAACTACCTTCTATTAAAGAACATTAGCAAAACTCTCTCTCTCTCTCTCTCTCTCTCTCTCCTGCAACATGCACTGTGATCCCCTGGCTATGCTCAAAAGGCAAGGGAGATGCTAAAATTGAGAAAAGTATGGGCTGTATAATCCTAAACAGACAGGAATTAAAAAAACATGGAAGCCAGGTGCCAGTGGCTCACACCTGTCATTCTAGCTACTCAGGAGGCTGAGATCTGAGGGTCACGGTCAAAGCCAGCCTACACAGGAAAGTCTGTGAGACTCATCTCCAATTAACTACTCAAAAACCAGAAGTGGTGTTGTGGCTCAAGTGGTAGAGCACTAGCCTTGAGCTGAAGAGCTGAGGGACAGTGCCCAGACCCAGAGTTCAAGCCCCAGGACCGACAAAAAAAAAAGAAAGATAGAAAGGAAGGAAGAAGGGAAGGAAAAAGAAAACATATGAAGCCAGGCAAAGCTGGCTTAAAGATATACTTCTAGCTACTCAGAAGGCTGAGCTCTGAAGATCACAGTTCTAAGCCAGCCCAGGTAGACAGATCTGTGAGGCTTTTATCTTCAGTTAGCCAGTAAAAAGCCAGAAATGGAGGTGTACCTCAAGTATTTGAGTGCCAACCTTGAACTGAAAAGCTAAACAAGAACCTGAGTCCTGAGTTCAATCCCCAGGAAAAAACATATGGATACATTTAAGGAATACTACCTTCTATCTCTGAGAAGAATTCTCTTCATACATCTCTACATAAAAGGAATTGAGTAGCTCAAGGACATTATTTCTTTTTTAATATAAATTTATTGTTCTTGTTAAGGTGTTGTACAGAGGGTTGACAAGTCCCTGAGTCAGACAATGTCACCCCTTCCTTCACGTTACCCCAGATTTCCCTTCCTGCCCTGCCACAAGTTGCATAGCTCATAGTTTACATAGCGTACACTGAACACCATTAGTGCATTTGTCCACCCTCCTCCCTGCATTTCTGTGCCCACCCTTTGCCCACCTTCAAAAAAAAAAGCAAACACAAACACTACTAGCAACAATAAAAACCTCCTATTTGCATTATCTGGAATTCCTTTTGCTATAGCATGTTAGATCTTCAGAGGAGTTATACTTGAGGTCCCTCCCTGAAAAGCATCTTCCTTTCATCTGTTTGTGTTAATGCATAGAGCCCAGATAAGTTTTCATGTCCAGTTATATTTTAGATTTAGCTTCTACATATAAGAGAAAACATGTGATGTTTGTGTCTCTGAGCCTGGCTTACTTCATTCAATATGATTTGTTCTTGGTCCATCCATTTCCCTGCAAATGAAATGACATAACCTTATGCTTTCTTCTGGATGAGTAAAATTCCATTGTGTATAGGTACTGCATCTTATTGATGCAGTCATCTGCTGTAGCGCATCTGAGCTGTTTCCATAACTTGGCTATTGTGCATATTGCAAGTGTGTATGCGCGTCTGTACCATCTGCTGACTTGTGATGCTCTGGGTAGATGCCCAGCAGTGGTAGGGACATTGTTTCTTAAATAGCTGGGGAACTGAATGAAGGTGGAATGTGAATGATAGGGTATCCACAGAAGGGGATGAAAATGAAGCTGGCATACGTGCACTGGAGGACCGAAGAACAATGAGTTCATTCTGAACAGCGTTTGTCAGGGAGGAGATGTGGAGCCTTTGTCATAGGATGAGTTCGCTAGATGGGAAATTCAGCTCTGCCGTGCCTTACCAGCTAAATTCCAAAAAACACCTCTAGTCCTGGCCACAACCAGCGGTGCCTGGGGGAGGGAGGGTCCAACCACAACGCTATACTATTTTAGAAGTCAACCTGTTTCTTCCAAGGTGTATGGGATCCCTTGCAGTCCCTTGTCTCCACATAGGATCCTGCTTCTGTCTAGGTGGCTGATCTTTTCATTATGTTCAAATCATTCTCCACGGGGAGGCAGGAGGGTGTCATTGCTTGATGAATATTTCCAACGTGTGGGTAGTGAACGAATAATGTCACATCTCCTCCTGTGCAGGAAATACTGGCCTCATTCCAGGGACAAAGAGATGCGCTATGTTGAAAGGAACATGCCATGAGAAAGGATGCACAACCACAGAACACAAGATGGGTGAATGCAGCAGCCGCAAGGTGTGCTGTCGGAAGTGGTGGATATACGGGCCCTACCCAACTCCAGTGCCCAAAGCAAAACCTTCGTAGACGGGTGCAAACGAGGAGCGTTCCCAACTCCAGAATGTGTGGACATGTCTGGTAGACTTCAGTTAAGCCAAACTTCCTTTTCCTCTTGGACTGGAAATAAAAACGTTGTTCTCATTTCATAGGAATTGGTCCCTGGGGCATTTCTTATTAATGCGCATAGCAGCCTCTTCAAAGCGATGAGATTCATCTGAGTCATACTGTTGCCTCATATCCTGAAGATAAGTATACAAAATATGAGTGCCTAAGAAAAAAGACAAAGGCAAGACTCAGAATGAACTCACAGCAGGCGGCGTTTGCTTATTGGGCGTCAGCGCTCTTCCTCCTGTGGTCCTGGAAAAGCCCCACTTTTCCAGTTGGGAGGATAGCTCAGCGGGGAGCACTTGCCTGGCATGCACAAACCATGAATAAGGCACCCGACTGGGCCATCACCCCAAAATACACGGTCCCAAATGACAGCATTGCACTGGTTAAAATCCAAAAAGATTAAAATTCCTGCAAGAGGCATTTATTTACACAAGACAGAATTCATTTGGAAAACACAAAAGCAGAACACCTTACTGGCCACTGCACCATAAAATAGGCAAGAGCACTTGACCCTTGCTAAGCAATAAATAAAAAAAATAAAATAAAACAGGCAAGAGTAATGCATGTCTTTGCAGGCATAAACAGATACACTGGGGGCAGAGCAATTATGAACAAATGAATAATATGCATTAAGAAAAAAATCAAAAGTAACATTTATAATGGTGTATCATCATGGGTGAGAATTGTGTGCAACCAACTTCATAACTGCTATCATTTGAAATATCATGATGGACAACCTAAGTGGGCTGTCATGATCACCCAGTGAAAGCCAGCAAGGAGGCCGAGCACAGGGCTTGTGCCCTGTGGTAAGCTATACTCAATGAAGTTGAAAATTCCTAGGTCAAATTCACTATCTGATGGTAAATGAACTCCAGTCTTCTGTTGTAACAACCTACACTTAACAGCTTGACTTAAGAGCCATTTTCTCCTGTGCTCTTTGAGGAAGTCCCTTCCAGAGCACCTGGTCTTTCTCCTGGGAGGCCCTACGCAATCTGGGGATAAGCACTGTTCCATGCTCACTAGGTGTCACCAGCCCATCCCATAATTCAGCCGACCTTCCTCCCACCCTTCTTCCTGTCTCCAGCCGTGGTTCTCAGGCATCCTGAGGACCCTGACTGCCTGCCCGCCTCATCAGACTACAGCTGTCAGAAGGTCTCCAGAGCTTCCTCTCTTCCTGTTCCATGAAGGACTTCAGTGATTTCGCCTCAGGAATGTTACTGCTTTGCAATAAGAACTGAACTCGCTGAGTTTTCCTCATAATGCTAAGGACTCACAGATCCATGAGAAAAACTGGTACCTTCTTTGTAATCGGAGCTGGGGAAGATTGCAGATCAGCCCTTGTGGCCATGAATGAAGTACTCTCCAACAAGGTACACACACACACACACACACACACACACACACACACACACACACTGGCCTTCAGATCATCCTTTGTGCTTCTAGAGTGCTAGAGAGGCTGGGCCCAGCTGCCCTGGCCCTGCAGCCTGGCAGGAGGGAGGGCTAGCAGCCTGGAGGCTAGGCATCTCCATCAACCTGTGTATTTTCTAACCCAACCATCCCTTAATCGTGTGACCGTACCTTCCCAAGATGATGAGTCAACGACACACTGCTCTATCCAGTCTTTCTTTTCCCATGAGGAGGGAGATAAAGGAGATAAATACTTTGACTCTGTAAATGTTAACCTTCACAGTTCCTCCTGAAACCATAAGGCAATACTGATGTTTCAACAGAACAAATCTCCCTCCCTGCACCATAGCTGAGTATATGCTGAATATATTCTCTGACCTTTGTCCAAACCCTGCCAGCATTTAACAAATGTACTTGGAGTGACTGGCGGGCACATCCGCAGCTTGCAATCTTCTGACACAAAGCTTCCCTGGAACACAGAGATGTTCTTGCTACTGAAAGGTTCAATAATCCTCTAGCTCCTGCGTGGGGGTTGCGTGCACAGAGAAGCTCTGGGCATCTCACCTGCTGGCTGGGATCCGTGTGCTCACCATGAGAGCCCTGCTTTCCTTCCTCGGGGCCTTCGCCTTGTTATCCATGCTTTCTCCAGGTAAGACAGAGATTTTTCACTCCAGGGTTAAGAAAATGGAGGTGAGAGAGAGGCAAGGTCTTCCCAGAGTTTGAAATACAGAGTTTGAAAATAGAAGAACAAAGGCAGATTTTTACTGTCCAAAGAAGGGCATGTGGAAAGTTAGAGAGCTGATATTAAAGACGGCATCTATAAGGTGGTTCTTTTGTTAATTTAATGCATGAGCTTTAACTTGAGGTTTCTGCTAGACCAAAAGATGGTTGGAGGCTACAGACAGGAAATTTGGGGAAATGAGAAGAAGGCAGAGGGGATGGGGAAGAGGTGGAAAACACTGTCCTCACTTGGGATTTTAGAATCAGTGCCAAGTACACATATGGGCCTTCAAAAAGAACTTTTGTAATAAACATAAAGAGCTGGAAGTGGCGCTGTGGCTCAAGTGGTAGAGTGCTAGCCTTGAGCAAAAGAAGCTCAGGGATAGTGCCCAGGCCCTGAGTTCAAGCCTCAGGACTGGCAAAAAAAAAAAAAAAAAACACCTTCCACTGAGATTGCAGGGGCTCATACAACAGATATTAATCGATATGAAAAGATTAATAAACAGAAGTTTAGTATAGGAGGCAATTGTTACTTCAAGCAATGGATAGATAAAGAAAATTCAGGGCTGGGAAGGTGGCTCAGTGGTAGAGCGCTTGCCTTGCATGCATGAGGCCCTAGGTTCGATTCCTCAGCACCACATAAGCAGAAAAAAAAATTTTAAAAAAGCCAGAAGTGGCGCTGTGGCTCAAGTGGTAGAGCGCTAGCCTTGAGCTGAAGAGCTGAGGGACAGCACCCAGGCCCAGAGTTCAGGCCCCACGACTGGACCCAAAAAAAAAAAAAAAAAAAAAAGAAAGAAAGAAAATTCAAAAAGAAAGCATTGCATTGGAACTACAGTTTAGACCAAAATCCTAAACAAACATGAAAAATAGTCCCTCCAACAGCAGATTTATAGTGCACACAGATATTCTCCGCAAGTGATCATGAAACAAACTGCAGCAGGTGTAAGAAGATGGCAATCATACCAGGCATCTTTTCCAATCACAGTGACATGCAGCTATAAATCATTAATAGGAAGAAGTTCAGAAAATTTACAAATTCATGGAAACATTCTTTTTTTTGGGGGGGGGGTCCAGTTGTGGGGCCTGAACTCTGGGCCTGGACACTGTCCCTCAGCTCTTCAGCTCAAGGCTAGCATTCTACCACTTGAGCCACAGAGCCACTTCCAGCTTTTTTCATTTTGCATATGTAGTGCTGAGGAATCGAACCCAGGGCCTCAGGCATGCAAGGCAAGCGCTCTACCACTGAGCCACCTTCCAAGCCCGACTCCTTGAGACTCTTATCTCCAATGAACCACCAGAAAACTGTAAGTAGAGCTATGGCTCAAAGTGGTAGAGCATTAGCCTAGAGCAAAAGAGCTCAGGGACAGCACCCAGGCCCTGAGTTCAAGCTCCACAACAATAACAAAGTCCCTCTTACCTTTTTTCTCTTTATGGAAGAAATCACCGCCCTTACCCTCTGGCTCCACTATCTCACATGGATTTATTTTATTTTATTTTCCAGGAAGGTTCTTTGTTGCTACTGTATTTTCTTGCTGAAGCATTGCAGAGATAAAGAATGGCAAGCAATATAGTGTATTACATCTTGTCTTCTCTTTTCAAAGCCAGAAGCTTCCTTTTCAAAGCTGCCTGTTCGACAAGATACTACAGCTGCAGGATGAAGTGCAACATGGATGAATATTCAGTTAGATACTGTGAAGACTGGAGCATCTGCTGTAAGACCAAGAAATCAGAAATTAAGAGAAAAAAGAAATGGTGAAAAGTCTCTATATTCTCTTTGGATTCCAGGAAAACAAACAAAAAGTGTGTAGAATGCCCTTATGTATCCCATAATAATTAATATGATGGATAAAAGAAATGTCACCATAACTACATGTCTAGATGGTCAGGTTAAAATAAATACACACTTGATAAAGTCTCACCACTCTATTGTCATGTGTGAATCTTAGCATTTACTTCCTTAATTTCTGTCTACAAGCACACTGTTTCTTGACCTATCCTACTACCTCCCAGTCAGTTAGCAAACAATTCAAAATCCTCTCTGGGGAAGGTAAGATTATCCTGCAGTAAGGAGGCCAGGTCTGGCTGGCGCCATATTGGCCACATGGTGGGTGGTAGGGTCTGGCATCTTGTCTTCATGCTTGGGGAAGGAAACCGCCCCCCCCCCCATTCACCTGCCTCGCAGGTAATGGGTGCTCCTACCCCTGGAGGCCGGGACAGGCACTTGGCTGATAGGTTACTGACTCTGTCAGTCCAGTGCCTGGGACTGGGAATTTCCCGAGGATCTGCCCCCTGCATGGACCTATTTAGGCCTGGACCAACCTAACCGGAGAAGTGTCTCCGTGATCGTCTCCTGACTTGTCTCCAGTCATCATGGAGTCCTAATTCAGCTCTCCATTGGAGCTGAACTGGCTTGTTGGTATTGTTTTTGTTATTTCTTTCCTCTTTAGCATGGGTTATGTGTATTTGCATGCTACAGGCCTTTGTAACAACTGGCAGCCTGCAGCCTGCTAACTGCATAATAAAGATTCCAATATTCTATATTTTAAAATGTGGCTTCTGGGATGATTTACTGTACAACAATCCCAAATCATTTTGGAAATTAATCTCTTGAGTCATGACCCAAATTATTTTGGAAATTATCTCTTGAGTCATACAGTATTCAGTATGAAAAGGTATCACTTTGGTTCGGGTTGATATGTGGAACTTACTTTTCGCCTTGTGAGCATACCAATGGCATACTGACTGTAAAGCTAGCAAACAAAAACAGAAAAACTGGGCTGGGAAGGTGGCTCAGTGGTAGAGCGCTTGCCTTGCATGCATGAGGCCCTGGGTTTGATTCCTCAGCACCACATAAGCAGCTGTGGCTCAAGTGGTAGAGGGCTAGCCTTGAGCTGAAGAGCTGAGGGACAGCGCCCAGGCCCAGAGCTCAGGCCCCATGACTGGCAAAACAAACAAACAAACAAACAAAAAAAAAAAACAGAAAAACTGCCACCGGCAGAAGCAGGCTCTGGAAAGAGCAACGTGTCTGGAATTTGCTTTGTAACTGGAATCCTACCCTCATGGTTGTAACTTGAAAAGATAAATGAAAAAAAAAATCTACCTCTGGAAGCTGGATAATAAAATATATGAGTTTATTATACAGTTCTTTCACTTTTGTGCATCTTGTTGTTTTTTTTTTCCTGTGTGAATCTCTTTTTTAACTTTAAAAGTGGTGATTATTCACTATAGAGTACAAAATGTTGCAATGCATGGATACATGGTACAGTGATCAGGTAACTAACATAGGTATCACCTCTTCATGGTGAGAGCATTTTTTAAAAGTTGAAATCATGGAAGTAGAAAGCAGAGTGCCAGGCAGTAGAAAAATAGAGATGTTCGTCAAAGGGTGCAGACTATTGAACAACGAACTATTGAACAGCAAACTAAGCACAGGCAAAGCTTTCTTAAAAAATATACAGGTGGGCTGGGAATGTGGCTCCGTGGTACAGTGCTTGCCTAGCATGCCTGAAGCCCTGGGTTCGATTCCTCAGTACCACATAAATAGAAAAAGCCAGAAGTGGCGCTGTGGCTCAAGTGGTAAAGTGCTAGCCTTGAGCAAAAGAAGCTTAGGGACAGTGCCCAGGGTCTGAGTTCAGCCCCAGAACTGGCAAAAGAACAAAAGAAAAGGAAGAAAGAAAAAAGAAAGAAAGATTGTCTCTGAGAGCTGAGAGTCAGGTGTAACTTGTCCTTTTTGTGATTTTTAAATATTTCACCAATTTTCTGGACCGACTGAGTTTACATTGTCACATAAAGACTAAACAACGTGAATTTCATTCCTCTGCGAATGAAAAGGCAGCTGGCCCTCGGGCCTCCCTTCCCACTTTCGGGGCAGAAGGGGAGCTGTGCTCACCTAGCAGGAGGAGCTGTCAGACAGGACTGGGCTGTCAGTCTGGCTCCTCCCGGTTACTCAGCCTAGCATGCCTGCCCTGAGCTCAGTGCGCCCAGGTCTGGGAGTCTTGAGTACACACACCTTCCCACCCTGCCTGCCACGAAGCCTCTCCTCACTGCCTTGCCTTTTCCAGCCTTCAGAATCCAGTGCCAGCAGTAAGAGGGGAGCTGCCCTCAAGAGGAAGCTCCGTCCAGAAGAGCTAGTCCCTCACTCACCCAGAGACCGTGTAATTTTCAAAACAGAAAAAGGCATCCATCAGCTGGGATGTCAGCAAGGCCTAGGCCTTATCTTGGCTTTTTAACTTGCTTGTTGGACAAAGCTAAGCTTCTGTGAGTCTGTTTCTTCATGTAAAAGAAAAAGAAAAAGGCGGGGCTGGGAAGGTGGCTCAGTGGTAGAGTTCTTGCCTGGCATGCATGAAGCTCTGGGTTCGATTCCTCAGTACCACATACACAGAAAAAGCCAAAAGTGGTGCTGTGGCTCCAATTGTAGAGTTCTAGCCTTGAGCAAATGATGCTCAGGGACAGTGCCCAGGCCCTGAGTTCAGGGCTGGCAAGAAAGAAAGAAAGACAAGGCCTTGCAGGGATTAAAGAAGATCACTGTAGAATGTGCCGGTACATAAGGTGTAAAGATACCGGACTCATGAGAGCTGGCACTATACCTTTCACTAGTAATGCCCTATTCGGTCTCAAATCTAAGAATATAACTGTATGACAGCCAAACCCAACAAAACAGTAAAAAGCTCATTGTTAAGCTTTTTAAAGATAGCTTAGTCTTGGAAATGAGCTTATTGTCCATTTCTAACTGGTGAATCCCTTATGAACAGAAGAAAACACAGTTGGAACTGCTTGCGTCCAAAGAATCCCTAAGGTTTCTTTTTTTTTTTTTGTCAGCCGTGGGGCTTGAACTCTGGGCCTGGGCGCTGTCCCTCAGCTCTTCAGCTCAAGGCGAGCACTCTACCACTTGAGCTACAGCGCCACTTCCGGTTTTCTGGTGGTTTATTGGAAATCGGAGTCTCACGGTCTCTCCTGCCCAGGCTGGCTTTGAACCGCGATCCTCAGATCTCAGCCTCCTGAGTAGCTAGGATTGCAGGCGTGAGCCACCAGCGCCCGGCTCCCTGAGGTTTCTATGGGAGAGGGGGAGTCTGAGCAGAGGAAGCAGCAGCTAAGGAGGCCCGCAGGGCTGCACAGCTGGCATGTCTATCTTTTCCTGACTCTGAAGAGTCTCCTCACTGAACATTACCGAATCCAGCCAAAGCCCATGTAGTTCTGCAGCACCTGGAAGTATCTGCAGATCGTGTGACCCAACCGCTGGAATTGAGTGAAGATCCAGAATCCTTCAAGCTGAGGACAGGACCAGAGGGTCACAGCCTCCAGACAACCATCACATTCCCTTTAGTGCCTGACACATTCACTCGCTTGTCGCTGCCAGAGGAACTTCTCACCTCGTGACACCACCATGAGGCTTTCGCTTCCCAGAGTGCCCAGGGTGTCCCTGGGTTCTGTCTGGCCAAGGAACCCAGTACATGATGTGAAAAATGCCTGGCCCAAGACAGCTGCCTCCACGCTTTTAATTCGTAACACCCGGTCCTGCAGACAGCATTCACTCATTCACTAAATAATCACTCACTCAGCTCAGTTACCAAGTCACAGACCATGGTACACAAATCCCGTGACCCAGGAACTGCTAAGGTTCAGATGTGAGGATGATACAAGTTTGACCTTGAGGCATCTTCAGCCTGTAGGACATCTGTCATTTCTCCTGAAGATCATTGATCCCACAGGACTTGATGGCTTAGATAGGGTGTGCGTTGACTGAAAGCTTCTATGAACAGGCAAGTCCTGTTGCTATTTTCTTTCTAATACTGTCATATATAGAAATAGAGGAACATTCAGATTTGTTCATTCTGGGGAGTGGTATGTCTCCAAACTTTGTGAGTCTAACTCAAGGCACTGAGCTACAGGGAGATCTCACCCGCAAGAGCACTTCACACTGCAAACATCTAGTAATATCTGTCTTGTTGTCTCCTCTCAGGGACATTTTGTACTTCCTCTTTGTTTGTTGTTGTTGTTGTTTGTTTGTTTTTGTTTTTGTCTAGGCTAGAAATGCATTGTGGTTAAGATCTTTAGCATATTCAGATCTATACCTCAGCAGTCTCTGAGTCACAGAATTTATAGAAACTGGCCTGAGAATGAATAAATGAATAATTAAATAGAGATTAAATGTCTGTATGCATTGACTGAATTTTACTAACCGAACTATTCAGACAACTTTTGAGTTACTGTCTTAGCCCAGTGTGGTAATGAAATACCATGGACTATATGGTTCCAATAAAACTTATATCCTCAAAATTATGGAAATGGGAAATCCACAGAATGTCCCCTGATTCTATGGGTTCCATTTCTTTTTTTTAAATTGTTATTATTAAGGAGTTGTACAAACGAGTTACAATCCCATAAGTCAGGTGCAGAGTATAATGTTTCTTGAACAATGTCACCTCTTGCTTCGCTTTCCCCCATTTCCCCCGTCATGTCCCTGCCCATAAGCTGTGTAAGCTCCATTCCTTGAGGTCTTTGTACGTGTTGGATATCAGGCCTTCGTCAGATGTAATGCCAGTGATGATGTCACCAAAAAGAGGCAGAGACCAAGAGACCATGTCAGTAGAGCCAAGCGAGAATTGAGATCTGCAGAGAGCTGGGTCCACACAGGGCAAAGGAGCAGAGAGGAGGAGGAAAGCAGACTGCTTACCCGGATGGCGTTCACCCTGGCAAGACCCAGACCACTGTTCCCAGAACAACCACTGTCCCCAGATCCGATGACGCCCATCCCAATGGAGTCACCAAAGGACGGTGACCAGACCAATGTCCAGTGGCGCTGCTGGAAGGAGGTGTCCAGGAGGAGGCGGCCTTCGCCTGGACCTTAAGGACTGAGTTTGTGATTTTGTCATTACGAAGAATTTGATGAAACATCAAGGTGGAGACCAAAAAAGTCTATTAGTAAAGCAAAGCAAGGGAAAGACAGCAAGACAGGACTCTGCCCAGACGGGGTGGGCACAGTGGATAGCAGGTACAATGTGCACCCCAATGTGATGGGTATGTACAGGGAAAAGTAGGTTGGGGTTTGGCTCAGAGGCACCTTGGAGAAGGGCTTCCCTTTGTTCTAACCCTGGGTACATTTCGTTGTTCTTACTGTTCCTTTTTTACATTTTTATAATCAAATGAGCCCAGAGACTTCAAGGTTGACACACTAAACTCTGAACGCTGATGTCCGGATTTTCTTTTAAACAAAAAAAAAATGTATTATGCCACAAGCACCCTTCAAAAAGAGTTGTCCATCTGTGTGTGTGTGTGAGAGAGAGAATTTTACAAACACTTTTTGTGCCCAAAGGAGTCACTTTCCCAGAAGTAGCATATATTTTAAAGACTTTCTCACTCAGTCCCAAGCATGCTCATCAGTTGGGCATGCAGGCTGATCAAGGAGAGAGCTATTCTTTTTTGTCCCCCTACTAAATGTTGCAACTGATAAGAGCATATAAGACTTAAATCAAAAAGAGTGTGTATGTGACTTTAATCGAGCTAGCTATTAACACAGTATATAGCCACTCCGCACTTAAAGCTGTAACTCTACATGCTCAGGCTCAACCAAAGGCGGCATATGTTCTGGTTTTATGCAGCACACATCGATGTCATCACAGAGGATATGAAACAATTCATTTGATGCACACGATGTCTTGCAAACACCCCTCGTTCGCCAACATGAATAATACATTTGTCTTATTTCGTTATTCACGCCGCCCCGAACTGCGAACAGAAACAAAGGTGGATTCTCAGTCAGTATCCGGCTGGATCATGTGGTCAAGGTTAGGTTAGACTCAGGGCTGGACTTTACAACATGAATGACAGATTCAGGATATCCAAAGATGGACTGTGTCTAGATAGCACCTTTCTAATTTGCTTCTCTCTGAAAAAAGGGGGTCCTATGATGAGCTATGAGCTCCCATGGTCCACAGCTACCTGATTCACAAATCGATTCTACACAGGTGTTAGGGAGCGGCAGTGCTTCCTCGAGCAACCCTTAGGGATGGAAAGATCCTCCAGGTGTGCTCAGTGGGGCCTCAGTGGGCAGCAGGCATGCGGAGTCTGAGTGAGCAATTCCGGACACATGGGCACGGAGAACGCAAGATGGCTGCACCATCGCTCCGGAAGAGCCTGGCTCTACTGCATTTCCCCATCCTGTTCTGCACCACATCTTGCTCAGTGGCCGCCTGCCTGCCCTGGCTTGGGTCCTCAGAACACCCCTAGTGGATGAAGAGAGCGACAGGGTTTCACGTATATGAAACCCACGCCTAAAGCTCTTGCCAGTGACTTTTCCAGATGGTAAGATCTAAGTTCCTTGGAAATCAGGGGTGCAAGATTGGCATCGGGAAGGCACGCGGTAAGGATGCAGCCCCCCAGTCACCCCAGTTTTGCAGGCTCTATCTTATTCTCTCCCCACCAGTTGTTTCCCTATGTGGATTGGGCCTTTGTGGTGGAAAAGTGAAGCAGCACGTGAAAATAATCGAGTCAAACTCATCTTCCATGTAAATAATTGAGTCAAACTCATCTTCCACGTGCCAGTGGTCTCTGGGGACAAAAGTCTCCGTGGTGGCGCAGAGTGTGCAGACTGAGACACGGTCACACCGTGGGCGGGAGGGCCGCAGGCACAGCCCATCCGCCGCTGCCGCTTATGACGTCACCCTGGGCCATCAGGTGACCTCATAGCTCAAATGTCAAAGTCTGAGGCCCAAGGTAGGAGCTTTCTGTCATCCTGAGAACTCCCATGCTTCTAACTTAAGTCAGTTCTTGGTTTTTGCAAGTTCCCTGAGTCTGTCCAGGAACATAAATGCTGAGTGCTAAAAAGAAAAAAAAATCATGCTTCATCGGGCCCCGCTGAGCTAGAAGTTGGTTTACTGCTCTGCTTGCACATTCTGCTCAGGACATTTTCCCTAGGAAATAGGCCACAGTTAGCTGACATAAGAAGAGACACGTTCTAAGAATCCTCAAGAAAATGCCGCCCAACTGAATCCTTCCTGTCTGTAAAGGTTGTGTGTTGGGTGCTTTTTTTTTTCTTGTTTATTTTTTTTTTCCAGTCCTGGGGCTTGAACTCGGCTGAATGCTGTCCCTGAGCCTGTTTATGCTCAAGGCTAGCACTCTACCACTTGAGCCACAGCTCCACTTCCTGTCTTTTCTGGGTAGTTTATTGGAGATAAGAGTCTCACAGACTTTCCTGCCTGGGCTGGCTTCAAATGGCAATCCTCAGATCTCAGCCTCCTGAATGGCTGGGAGCAGAAGCATGAGCTACCTGTACCCAACTAAAAGGTCTTTTTGTCTGCTTTGCTCCCTCTGTACCAATATCAACCTGACCTTCTCCACAAGCTCCATAGACTCTCCAGATCAAAGTCCGGAGCCAGTGTCTTCTCAGAAGAGAGCCTGTTTACGCATGCTTAGCAAATCGTCTCTACCCTGAAGTAGCCCAGAGCATCTACCGCTGCTCTCGTTCTCTCTCCCGGCTTCCCTGTCTCACCAATGTAGAACCCTCACTCACTCTCCCTTCCCTGTCCTTAAATCCACGGGGAACGAGATCTGCTTTACCTGCTGGAACACAGGAGAGCAAGACAAGAACCACAAGGACCAACAGTAGGCTCCTCATGGTCAAGGCGATCCACACAGAGGCAGCTGGCGTGCGAGGGAGGGTCCCGCTCTATGTAGCTTTCGAGAGAGGGGGAGACTCGTGGCTAATGAACCTTTGAGAACAAGAACAACTGCTTGCTCCACTGAGCAGTCCCATAAACAAAAGGTCCGACTTTGAAGATGACATTTAATCACAAAAGTCTGCTTGCTGGTGCCAACTGCATGCTAGAAACTGAATCCCCGCTCTGTAAGCAGACTCGACGGAAGGCCACACCCAGGGAGCTCGGTCGCTCTTTGCACTGAGCATGCCAGTCATGTGCACAAGCACAGGGCCTGCTTCATATCTTACACACACGGAACTCATTGCTACACATACACAAGCGTTCACCTTCACCATGAAGAAGTACAATTCTCAGATGGAATAAAAGACTTTCCAATTTTGCACAAATTATCATGGGAAACGGCTCAGCATCCACAAGGCTTTCCTAAGTCCTGGATGGACAAGAACTAAAGCAGGGCCTAACTTGATCCTAGTGTAGCTCTTCTTTTTTCTTGAGGAAAATGGAAGCTCCACAAATGGCATGGACGAATTCCCACACACCACCACCACGAGCCAGGACGGCCTGTGCCCATGCTGGGCATGTCCTGGGCAATGTGAAGGTAGACCACATCCTTGCTTTGAGAGGCTCGAGATCAGGGCTGGACAGTGTCTGAGTGTTTTAAGTTTCACAGCAACTCTATCTGCTGTTGTACAAAGAACACAGAACCCATAATGAGAAAATCTGACTTCTAGTCTGCACTCTGCAGGCACTAACTAGCTTGTGGAGCTTTTTTTTTTTTTTTTTTTTTGCCGGTCATGGGGCCTGAACTCAGGGCCTGGGCGCTGTCCCTCAGCTCTTCAGCTCAAGGCTAGCGCTCTACCACTGGAGCCACAGCGCCACTTCCGTCTTTTTCTGTTTATGTGGTGCTGAGGAATCGAACCCAGGGCCTCATGCTTGCAAGGCATGAACTCTACCGCTGAGCCACCTTCCCAGCCCGCTTGTGGAGCTTTTAAAAGACCCAGATCCCACTTAGCTGAACACGAGGGTCTTCACTGGGAAAGCACCTTGCTTCATCTGCCCTAACCTGTCACAAGGCTTATTGTAAACTCAGAGAAAGAAGGCTAGATGAAATGCCCTGTATGAAGTACACATTGAAAGTTTCTATCACAGGAAGTGGCGCTGTAGCTCAAGTGGTAGAGCGCTCGCCTTGAGCTGAAGAGCTGAGGGACAGCGCCCAGGCCCAGAGTTCAAGCCCCCCGACTGACAAAAAAAAAACAAAACAAAACAAAAAAACTATATAGAGCAGTCAGAACCTCTGCGATTTAAAACATTATTGGAAGTGGCGCTGTAGCTCAAGTGGTAGAGCGCTCGCCTTGAGCTGAAGAGCTGAGGGACAGCGCCCAGGCCCAGAGTTCAAGCCCCCCGACTGACAAAAAAAAAGAAAGTTTCTATCACGGAAGACTTTAAAACTAGAGATAGATAGAAGATAGGAGATGAAAGAGAGAAAGAGAGAGACAGGTAGAACTTGTTCTTGTTTTTTAATGTCAAGATGTTTTTATTTAGTCGGTATATCTTTGAAGGACTCATAAAATATGACAGAACAGGAACTAGAAGAAAATCAGTAAGCAAAGGAAGGCTGTGAGTTCGGTGGAGCCCAGATGCAGGATCAAGAGCAACACGTGTTCTATTGGAGCTCACACCTACCCATCTCTCTACTACTGGCACTCAATCAAGTCCACCAGATCTTTCACGAAGCTAAGTCACCGGCTCTCCCAGATGTTTAGATATTTGCCATTCATCCTCCACTCACTGGTCGACACAGCCCTTATCAACACTGAAATTGCAAAACAAGATCTTGCATTTTCCTTATATAAAACCCTTCAGTCAAACTCATTAACTTGTTAATACAGTCTGGTAATTAAGGTTTAGAACCCTCCCATGGTGCCCTTTGGAGTTAGAGACAGCACAGTGGACAGACTGGCTTGGGCCCTGGTCTCTTCTAACCCAGTTCCTCTGGTTCTTCCTCTGTCTTTATTGAAAACTGGTGACCAGTTCTACCCTCCAGCATGCTTCCCTCAAACTTCCACACGCTCTTCCTTTGCCCTGAAAATCTGCCTCTCTCCCCTCCATCTTCCAATATATGTATATTTTTTAAACAGGTTTTTTGGTTGTTTTTTGTTGTTGTTTCAATTTGTTTGTGTGTTTGTTGTTGTTGTTGTTGTTGTAGGGCTTGAATTCAGGGCCTTGGCACTGTCCCTGAGCTCTTTTGCTCAAGGCTAGCCACAGCTCCACATCCAAAAAGTAGATATTTTTAAAACTTCATTATCTACTTCCCAAATTCAGCTTCTCTTTCATAGCTTTTCCTCGCGTAGCCTTTCCCCTTCTCATGACTAGCACATACAATATTGACGTCCAGCATCTCATCCATCCCTGTTTTCTGTATTTCCCGCTTGTTCTCTTCACCTGACGATAATTATGCTCAGTGAGAGAACAGATGGATGCAAACAGCATATGAACAATACCACATCGACAAAACCCAGACTTCTAGAATATTCGTTTTCTAGGACTGCAAGGATACCATGCCACACACTCAGAGGTTCACGCAGAAATGAGGTCTCACAGTTTCCAAGGCGAGACACGCGAAGTCAAGTTGTGGCAGGGTTGGCTCCTCCTGAGAGCCAATAGAAGGATCCGTTCCAGGCTCCGAGTCTCCTTCTGGTAGCCTCGGGGCGCCCCTTGGCCTGCAGCCGGTGTTCCTTGTCTCTTCAAATCATCTTCGCTCTATGTTTGTGGCCAGTTTTGCCTTTTTTATAAGAACCCTGACATATCAGGCAAGGGCCAAGGCTAATGACCTCATCTCAATTTGATCATCTGCGAGGACTCTATCATGAAATAAGCTCACGTTCACAGGGACAGGAGGACAGGACTTCAGCATCTTTTGAAGCCATAATCCAACCCATAACAAACATGAATGCTCAGTCTCCTCAGGTAATGTTTATCTCCTTTGTTTTCTTTTCTGCTGTATGTTTTATCTATTGAAGAACCCAGACCCCTGGCACTGCACAGCTTCCCACAGTTTTCTAATGAATACATATTCACTCTCAAGATGCCTTTGACCTTGTATCTCTGTCCTCCTGTTTGCTGGAAATTCGCAGGTAAATCTAGAAGTTTGATCAGACTCAGGTCCAATCCCTTTGGCAAGACTGTCATGTCTTGTGTCTTCTCATTAGAGGCGTAGAATATCTGACTGCCTCTTTTGGATCAGTAGCTATTGTTTTTCAATACTGAGATCATGGATTTATCAAGGTTTCCAAAATAGTGTTATATTCTTGACATTTTACATGCACTTATTAGTGAGAATATTTTCAAATTTCTATTCTTTTTTCTCAGCAAGATAAATTTCAAAAAGAAAATGCTCATTTCTTTTTCTTACTAGTTTTCTCTATATGAAGTTATTCTTCATGCAGCCTTCAAAGATGATCATTCAGTTTTTTTGAGATGGAATTTCATGGTGTTAAAATCACTGTGTAGTTCAGGCTATCCCTGAACTATTTTTTTTTTTTTGGTTAGTTGTGGGGCTAGAACTCTGGCCTGGGCGCTGTCCTTCAGCTCTTCAGCTCAAGGTGAGCGCTCTACCGCTTGAGCCACAGCACCACTTCCAGTTTTCTAGTGGTTTATTGGAGATAAGAGTCTCAGAGCGCTAGCCTTGAGCTGAAGAGCTGAGGGACAGCGCTCAGGCACAGAGTTCAAGCCCCACGACCGTACCCCCCCCCCAATAAAAAGAGTCTCACAGACTTTCCTGCCCAGGCTGGCTTTGAACCGCGATCCTCAGATCTCAGCCTCCTGAGTGGCTAGGATGACAGGCGTGAGCCACCAGCGCCCGGCTCCCTTTTTATATCACCTCTGACATGACAGTCTTACAAGTGTGTGTCCCCATGCTAAGCTCAATTAAGTTTTGTTTTAATATTTAAAAATCATGCATTCTAATACTTTATGGATTTTTTTAAATTTATTTATTTTTATTTGTGAACATACTGTACAGAGGGGTTACAATTACATGGGCAGGATAATGCGTACACTTTATGGATTTTTACCTATTGACATTTTCCTCATTACTGCAACTTTTGCCCCATCTTTGATCAGAGCCTCTATAGATTGGCCTATAGTTGTCTTTGATACTGTTTCCTTGTCCTCTCTTAAAATAATATACATTTTGTATGCTTCCTGCTTTGAATCTGAATCAACAATTTCCCCCCAAATCCCTCCTTTCTCTCCCTACAAATGGCAATTCTAAACCATAACCTGTGCAATGAGATACTCATGGTTGCTGGCTTGATGGGGAGCTCAGAGAATTCCACACGTTTGAGCTGGAAATACCACGAGAAGCAAACTCACCACAAGAACCTCTTAGGGAAGTGAGCAAAAAGGCTCTTTTTTCAGTTACTGAATTTGCAAGTTGGTACCTCATATTCTCCACAACCAATGGGCTCATTATTTGGAAATTCCCCATCATTCTTTCTGTTTCATTCGCCTACATGCTGTTGGCATGAAGATATTGGCATAGTTGCTACTTTTTTTTTTCTTTTGCCAGTCCTGGGGCTTGAACTCTGGGTCTGGGCTCTGTCCCTGAGATTCTTTTGCTCAAGGCTAGTGCATACCACTTGAGCCACAGCACCACTTCTGGCTTTTTTGAGTAGCTTATTGGAGATAAGAGTCTTACTGAGTTTCCTGCCTGGGCTGGCTTCAAACCACCATCCTCAGGTCTAAGCCTCCAGGTTGCACCGGCACCTGGCTTGCTCTTTGATTTTTACCTACTCGTATGTGAGTGTCGACGGCCACCAAGTGACAACTGGAACTTTTTCTTCATATTCTCTCTCCAACCTTTCCCATACAAGTAATATCTAGTTGTTAGATCAGTTTTTGGGGTGGGGGTGTAGTAGACTATGAGTGTTCTTACGATGAAAGGAATGGCAAGTAT